GGGCCAGGAGACCAGGGGGTGGGCACGAGCAGCCCCAGGGGTCCAGCAGCAGGGCAGGAGCACCCCGCTGCCCCACAGCCCCCGTACCTCGTTCTGCCAGGGGATGGAGACGCTGCCGGTGGCAAATTTGGCGTAGAAATCGTTGTCAGTCTGGTCCAGGTTAACGCCCTTCACTGTAGAGAACTGCTCGATGTCCAGCACGTCCTTGCAATAAACTGCCCGGGGCTGTGGGAGCCAGAGAGCTGTGGGTGGGGGGATTTGGGCTCACCCCCCAGGCCGGTGCCCACCCTCGCTCTGCCCTTACATCTGGCACGAAGGGGGGTGTCATGATGCCGGCCTCCAGGCGCTTGAAGTTGATGGTCCTGAAGAAGGGATGTCGCTTCACCTCGGCCGCCCCCTCGGCCCCGCAGCCCAGGCGCTGCCTGGGGTCCTTGGCCAGGAGCTGGGAAGGGGGGCAGGTGGTCACGGTGGGAGGGGCCAGCCCTGGCCCCCACAGGGGACCAGCTGCCCCCCAGCTCACCATCTGGCAGATGGCCTGAGCATCCTCGCTGAACTTGTCCGAGTACAACTCCTGGTCCTCCTGCACCCGCTTCTCCACCTCCTCCCGCTTCACCCGCTCCTTGCGGGCACGGAAGGGCGACTGTCCCTGGATCATCTCGTACACCAGGCAGCCCAGGCCCCACCAGTCGGGGCTGAAGGCGTAGCGCTCGTGGCTGATCACCTCTGGGGCTGTGGGGCACGGCCCCAGACCCGTCAGTGGCCGGGGGGCCAGGACCCCCAGGCCAGCCCACCCAGAGCAGCCCCCACACTCACCCATGTAGCCGACGGTGCCCACGCGCCCACGGATGGGCTCGCCCTGGGGGATCTTGATGGCCAGTCCCAGGTCAGAGATCCTGATGTGGCCTGGGGCAGGGAGGGGGTGGAGGGCATCAGCCCAGGGAAGGTGCCCCTGCATGGGGAGCATCATCCCAGGGAAGGCACCCTGCAAGGAGGGCAGCATTCCAGGGAAGGGCCACCCCAAATCCCTGCCTGTCCTCCCCAAAAAACAGCCAGAGACCCCTCAGTAGGCACACGAAGACATATCCCCAAAGCCACGGGCAGACCCAGCCTCCCCCTCCTCACCATCATCATCCAGTAGGATGTTCTCCGGCTTCAGGTCCCTGTGGAGACAGAGGGACGGAGGGGCTCAGCAGGGAGGGGGGCCCCCCCTGCCACCCTGCCGGCCCCCGCCCCGCTCACCGGTAGGCGATGCCCTCCTGGGTCAGG